GAGATTGCGGTAGTTTGCGTTAAGGAGCAGCCAAATCATCAAGGACTTATCTTACGACTTGCTCGTAACGAGCTCCAGCTAAAAGAGGCGGTCGAAAGTATACGGGGTCTATTTCGGGTTCTGGAGGGCTGCGCAAATGAAGGTATGTTGGCTGTTCTGCGTGAGGTTCGACAGTAGCTGAGTAATCAAGGCCTCGAAACAAGCACTGTATAGGATCGACTCTTCGATGAAGCACTGGGAATTAGTGAGAATCGGATTCTGCAGAGATGGATGCCGTCCTAGTACCCTGCACCATCTTACTGGAGTGTAAAGGCATAGTCAGGAGAGGGCATCGCTACTTAGCAATCTCTGGGCTATCCAGTCCCGTCTACCCTCACGGCCTTCAACCCCTGAGGCCTACATGGTATGCAACGCGCATGTAAGAGTTCTCTCGAAAATCCGCCAAAGCTGTCATCGCAATCATTTCGCATTGTCCGAACTTGCACCACCAGAAACGGGAAAAGGGCTCTGTCATCTTTGACGGGCACTCAGTTTCCCCCACTCCAAATTGATTCTGCCACCCCCAAAGCAGTTCGACCCCACTTATCTTTCTGCCGTCCTCGTGGATCTGATTCCCAGTTCAGCGTTTCTGCCATACCAAGTTTGATTCCGCTATCTGCATGGGTTACTGCACCTATCAGCGAACTTCGATTCATTCTGCCGCCCCGGTTTTATTCTGCCATCTCGAACTCTTTTTTCTGCCGTTCTTTCTTAGGATTCTGCCGCGCTTTTCTGCCGGCCGTCTAGATCTATCCGCCTTCCCAATTCCGGATTCTGCCCCCCTGGCATTGATTTTCTGCCGCTCTCAGCCGTGCTTTTCTGCCCGCCCGCCTTTCAACCGTTTGAGGAGACGTTTCTCTGTTTAGGTCGTTTGTCATATATCCGTGATCCTCATTTCGACCGATGCGGCCAAACGCGGGCTCTATTCTTCTTCACAAATTATCTCAGTGGCTCATTGGGCTCCATTCGCGTCCCTCGTGCTAGTTGACTACTACAGTATCAGGCCAAAGTAAAAACCCCTACCAAGTACCTGTGGCGCATTTGGTCGATTATCTAAGCAGAGGTACCCCGACCTCAACAGGCTGGGCTTCAGCCAGTCGAATTGCCCAGGCCAAAGGGTCACTGCCCGCAAATACATGGCCAGGGGTTCAACTTGCCAATACAACCATCGCAAGTCCCAGACGGAGCCCGCTGCTAATTCCGTCATGATCACGGCAACGGACCACATCTAGCATGAAGTCTACTTGGCCTTGGGTTGTTGCCTCCACGAATCCGACGAGGCAGAACGGCGGCAGAATTGTTTGAACCATATGCACGAATGATTATTGATAGCCGTACACAGAATCAACACCCGCCCATAGCGAAAGGGCACGTATATCAAGGCATTTCGATCGAACCTGACCATCGCTGTTTGTCGAATGGTCCCAGCTGACTAAGCAACTGTGCCAAGGCACGATCCAGCATTTACGGTGCTTTGCTTACTGATCACTGGTGTCTCAATCTTGCTCGTGTCTACTCCACCAGCATCTGCGTATGGAGTATACCGACCTTGACAAATGCTTCTTCATGTACCGGGATGAGACTTTGGCAAGAATGCATCTACCGAACGACAATGGAACCTAAAGGCATCTGCATTAGGGACTAGATACCAATAGAGTGGAGGGACGTGCTCTTCAAGGCGCTTTGCATGCTTAAGCCTGCTTTACCAAGCATTAAAATCCAATGGAAATAACGCTTGTGGCATACTGTACATTGGCCTCTTACTATGCTGTAGGGTGCCGTAGGAGGTCGACCTCACAGGCCCGATTTCAAAGCCAGATGACGCCAGCGAACTAGACAATTCGAGTACCGACTCTTGGTATCCAAAGCAGCAACGCCTAAATCTGGGCGGCGACCGTTCGTTTCGCGCTGCCGTTCTCAGATCTTTCACATACGATGTCCATCCTCACCACACCTGGCTCACGACTCTAGCTGCATTGTTATCGCGCATGGTGTAGTTTTCACCCAGCAAACCATAGTCTTTTCTGCCCATAGATACGGGTTACCATCAGATGGGGAAGAACGAACACCCACGGAAAGGAGAGACGGGGAAACCCCACCCGGATCCCACTTCCCCCGGGTGTGACGCGTGGATGTGGGAGACCGTGATGGACAGCTGGGTGATTCACTGTGTCAAGCATCCTGTGGAGCCATCGGACTCCATGGTATCCAGCGCAACAGGTTACGACCTGGTTTGTAGCTATAATTGGAAAGCTAGCCAGGATCTGAAGATTCAAATACCCGGTGGGCCTCAAGTACCTGGGGACAATACTACATGACTGACTATCAGTAGGCTTTGCAGCGGTCTTGCAGGAGGTTTCCTTACCGATTACGGTGCCTGGAGACCAGGCTACCCGCTCGATGAATGGAAGCACGGCGCGTATTCCTGAATATTCCTGTGAGCCGCTGTTTCGCGCCACAGCATCGATGAACCCGTCATTCCGCTTTGACGAAGTCGACATCTTGGTGAATCGAAATAGTCTCAGGA